TAGTATGCAGTATGCCTAGTAAGACCTTGATTAGCTGCTTCAGGTGTGTTTGATTAGGGTTGGAGCTACAGGACACCGTGCTGGACAGTGGGTCCCCAGGAACAGGGTTGAAGACCTGATTTTAGCTATCTAAGGCTGCGTTTACACTTGGCATTAACATGCGACCTGTATCCGGATGTTGTCCACATACACATTGAAAAGACAAGTGATCGGACAAAATTTAGTCACACAGGCAGAAAAAATGGTCGCAGTCTGGAGTCCTGCAATTAATAGTAAATATAACCAAAACAGGTTATTATAATTTTTTTATAAGAATAATAAAATAAATATAAGGAAATCTCGCCCACTCGATTTTGTAATATTCTTTAATTTTGTAGTCCGTATGAAATAATGCATTTCTATTAAAGGCACGTGAATGTGGAGATGGCGAGTCAGACGGCAACCTCATCTTTGCACCTGACACTGACTCAGAAAGCACTAGTTTATTAATAAATAATTAAAATGTCTTTTTTTTACCCCGACGGACTCAGAAAGCACTAGTTTATTAATAAATAATTAAAATGTCTTCTATTCCCCCGACGCGTTCATAATCACTTTGCCAGTGCTTTGAGGCAATTGCTTTATGCGCGAGCTTGAGCGCGGAATAGGCTGTAGCCTAATACGCCTGCCTATATATTAAAGGATGGTTAATATATTATTATATTCATCAATTTAATATAACGTGCGTCTAGTTGACTAGAAAAATCTTTAGTCGGGGGCAGGCCTACTTAGCACAAGGAAGCGCTCCATTTTTAAAATAAAATGCTATAATGACATTACGAAAAGTGCGACAGCTGCAAATCACGTCGTTATTGCATTGCACGAGTTATGCATGCGTAAGGAGTCAAATGTTTTTTTTCCTTTTTTTATTATCATCTTAATTATTAAATAGGCTACAGCATGTATATAATTGATTCCAGGAAAAAATCTGTGGGGGTGCTATGGGGGTGCTTTTATCTTTCTTGGGGGTGCTGAAGCAGCTGCTAGCCCCTCCCTAGCTCCGCCCATGATCGTGATCCTCGGACAGTGAGTGACAGTCTGTTCGTGAGAAACGAAACTGGCCACTGAGGCCTTTTTCAGGGCGTTCTTGACACACCGACGGAGATAAAAAATATGGCCTGGCCTGGGAGAATGTTTACAGCTGTTACAAGGTGTGTTCAATGAGCATTTTTATTTAATGGCAATAGCTTTTAGTTACAGGTAA